CTTGTTGTTCATCTGTATTCGATCCTGAACTTGAGCGCTGTGATGCTGGGAAAGAAGCCGATACGATCGGTCTAGCGCCACAAGCAGCCGTGCTTGATGACGCTTGGCGCGCTCGCGCCGATGCCGAGCTGGCTCGGTGTCACGCGAGAACAAGAGAGAAGAAATATCTGATGTCGCGGTGCCTTCAGAAGGCGCGCGCGTGGGGCTGGGCCTGTAGAGTGAAAAGAAAAGGGCCGCAGGTTGCAGTATCGGATCTGACCTGCGGGTGGTTTAGGCCAAACCCTCTCCTCCTCCTCCTCTTCCTCCTCCTCGTCATCCTTCGTCACTGGCTAAGGCTGCGTCTAAGGCTGGCATGAGGCAAAGGCTGTCGAAGGCCTACCGCGAGAAGCCAAGAGGGTGCACTCTTGGCTTAAGTATCAAGGGGCTGATTTCGAATATTTGGTGACCCCAGGGGGGATTAAGCAGTTGCCTGAGGAGCTGATGCAGTACAGGTAAGCTCTCTGGAGTAAATATTGGACCGCCCCCCCTGAGCATAGAGACGCCCTTTCGGTTGTGTCGAATGTTCTCGGGCCCATGGCTCTGGAAGATGTGGAGGGGTCGGAACCCCTTGGGACCAGGGCAGGTGTCTAAAGCCACGCGATTGTTCAAGGCTGACACGGCCACTGGGGTGAATTGCTGGGCCCCAGGGCTGTTGGAGGCGCTTCCTGCTGCCGCGGTTGGGGTCTATGCCGACCTCCTCAATCAGTGCGAGCGCGGCATGCTGTGCCCCCCTCCCCGGACGAAATTATGTGTCATCGCGTTGCTGTCTAAGGCTGCTGACGCCCAGCGTCCTGTGTGCAAGTGCCCGAGTTTGTTGGGATGTACTGCAAGGCCCGTGGCATCGAGGATTGAAGCCGACAGCGGTCCAACTTCTGGGACACTGCGATTCGAGGCTCGTCAGCTTTGCAGGCGGCGTTGTTGCGAGAATTATCCACGAGACGGCGAGGTAGAATGATATGATGTGCGTGGGCCTGTGGTCGGATCTCAGCATGTGTTTGACACGGATTCGCCGTGGAAGCTGAGTATCCTATTCACCTTTTGTGCCTGGAGAGCGTAATGCATGATGCCCCCAGGATTTTGGAGGTGGGAGGGTTCGCCTCAGACATCATCCCTACTGGATATGGGGTGCTGCCATGAGGTACCCAGCTGATGCCTTGGATTATGCTGTGTCTGCATGATCTGCTCGACTTCGCTCATGTGCAGTATTGGCCTGTGTGCACGCGCGCGTATGTGGATGATATCACGCAAACTCAAAAAAGAACGCATGAGGAGATTTTGAATGCCATCACCCCAGGGGCGGTGCACCTTTGTCGTCAGCTTGAGGCTGCTGCGACGGTGATATCGGACAAGAGTTCGCGTACTCGGACAGTGCTCCACGTGCCGAACTGGACGCCATGATTAAGACGGCCAGCCTCCCGATGTGACCCGAGATTGAGGTGCAAGATCTGGGGGGTCATGACCACAGCTGGCAAGTGTCGCTGCACGTCGAAGGTCAAGAGACGGCAACCTGCCGCGTATAAGAAAGCCGAGAAGGTGTGCAATGTGTGCAGGCTCGTGTGCTGGCGGTGGGGTCCTGGGGGGCACGAGGTATTGGGCCTGACGCCTGCGCAGTTTCAGACGGTGCGGGCCCAGGCGGCCACCCGCTCTGGCTGGTGGGCCCTGGGGGCCTGCACGGCCACGCTGCCGGGCTACTGAGTTCGCCCAGCGATGACCTCCAGATTAGGTTTCGTACGTGCCAAAAGCCTGATCACAAGCGGAGGCTTCCGACGCCACGAGCGTGAGAGCAGATCAAGCAGACGTCGTCGAAGAGACACACCACCGCTGGCAGGATCGCCCGAGGTCCGATCGCGGCTACCTGGGCGGTGCTGTGGGATGTGGACTGGGAACCTGCGTCCCCCGTGCTGCTGGCGCGCAAGTGAGGAGGTGCTGCGCACAGCCGACGCTGCTCGTTCGTTCCGCCCTCGGTCCCTGCCTGCCGAGGAGTGCACGGCTACGCCCTTGGAAGCAGGCAGCCTTACACTGCATGGGGAGAGGATCGGAAGGATTGCCCGGGTTCGCTGTCATCAGGAGAGACTGTGCAGGCTCAGGGATGCGGGGCACGACTGTTCGCTGCAGGAGCTGCGTTTGCGGTTTCACTTTTTGTGTGGCAGGCTGGCCGACTTCTGGCCTGACCCTTGGGCTGTTCGCTGCAGGAGCTGCGTTCGCAGCTTCGCTTGGCGTGGCAGGCTGGCCGACTTCTGGCCTGACCCGTGCAGGCCTCGGTGTCAGATTGAGCAGCGAACTCAGGCCCTCCCCGCTCGTGAGCCAGTGCCGCTTCTTGAGGAGCGGCCGGTTCCAAGTGGCCTCGGGCCTTCGAGGTTGTGCGGTGGAGCCCCCATCCGATGGCGGAGCTGTGTGATGCGTCTCATCAGCTCGAAATGTTGAGAGGCTTTTGGCTTGTGAGAGGTGCGGTGGCTTCGCGATGGTGAACCCCCACGCACTCCGAAGAAGGAGTGGCAGCATCCCACCAGAGCGGGGAGGGAGGCGCTGTCGCGCCTCACTCGTGGACTCCCCAGGTCGGGCACCGAGTTCCCCGACCACTGATTTGTGTTCTAAGCGACCTCCCCGGAGGAGGACTCCTCGTCATCCTTTTTCTCATTCTGATCCTCCTCCTCCTCCATTTTCTCCTCCTCCTTATCCCTCTCATCGCGATGCTCCTTTTACCGTTTCTCATACTTCTCCTCCCACTCCTACTCCTGCTCCTCCTCCTCCTACTCCTCTTCCTTCGCCTCCCCCTCCTCCTCCTCCTCGTCCTCCTCCTGCTCGCCGCGCTCCTCATTGTATTCCTCGTGCTCCTCCTCGTGCTCCTCATTACCCGGCTCTTCGCACTGCTCTTCCCCTTCTCCTCCTCTTTCTCCTCTCTCCTCCTCGCAGTGCTCCTTATCCATCCCTTTCCTTATGAAGAACTCCTCCCTGTCGCACCCCCAGACGTGCTGGTAGAGCGGGCCTAGAGCTTCGCCTGAAAACCATCACCGCTTATGAGCCTGAAGCTTGCAATATGCAACAGTTTGTATCTTGGAGGGCTGGTCGCTCTCGAAGTCCAACGTTCGCTGGCAAATTCGTCTTAAACGTCTGCTGCAACTTCACAGATGGAGGGGCGGCCGTTTTTTAACGTGACTCTCGCCCTAGCGCCGCGCAACACCGTCTTAAAGCTCGTAACAGCTTCACTTCTGGAGGGGAGGCGTTTCGAAAACGTGGCTCCCAAAATAGCGCCCCACATGTTCGTCTTACAAGTTTGCAGCAGCTTCTCGGATGGAGGGCGGCTCCTTTTCATAATGTAGCTCTCGCCTTGGCGCCGCGCACATTCCTCTTAAATCCCACCAGCACTTTGGGCTAAGATGGTCTAACGCAAGATTTGCCTCCTCTTCCGAAAACCCTCTTCCCTTCTGGAAGGTCTGCCTCGCCCCCCTCCCAGGGCCTGGATTGGGGGGGGCAAGAAGTTAGAGCACCCAAGATGGCTCAAGAGGGCGTCCGACAGGATGACCTCCAAGCTGGCTCAAGATAGGCGGCGATGGTTCAGGATAGCTTCCGACCTATCTCCAAGAGGCCCGACAAGGGCAACAAGACGGTCCCAGAGGCTCTCAGGAGCCCCCCATCAGGACCCCACGAAGAGGCCAAAATCCGTCAAACGCCTGAGGAGCGTCACTGATTGGTGCCTTCTCGCCTTTTCGCTTCCGACGCGCCTTCGAGGCCGGGCCCCCATAGACGGCCAGAAGAGCGCCCAGGAGCGGCCCAAGAGCGCCCCAAGAGGCGATGCCTGGGGCCCCAGAAGGGCGGGTGGGGGCCAAACGTTTGGACCCCCATCTTTTGATCGATGACCTCCAAGCCGGCCTCGAGAGGCCCTCCAGCTCCCAGGAGTGCCCCAAGAGGGCCCCAGGACGGCCCCAAGAGGGCCCAAGAGCGCCCCAAGAGCGTCTCACGAGGGCCCCAAGAGCCGGTTTGCCTCCTCCTCCTCCTCCTCCTCCTCCTCCTCCTCCTCCTCCTCCTCCTCCTCCCCATTCTCCATGGATCCGCCGAGTTTTGCTTCACTATATGTGTCTCTTCATTCCTTTCCCCATCAACTCTCACGGGCAGGATTATTGAACGGGCTGTGCGGGATCCGCGAAGCGTGAAGAACCATCCTGGCGAAGATCTCAACCATCTGCAATTGTGAATACCATCATTGTGAGTGTCGACCTCGGTGGAGATCCCCATAGGGGCCCCGAAGCGAGTTAGATAATATAACATTGCAACTCGTCGATGGCAAACCAGACATGTTTTACACATCCGGGATGCACTAATCCAATGTGTGGGGTCCACGCTTGCAAACGTTCAACTGTTCTCTTGCTCAAATGTTCTCCTGACTTGATGTGTTCTCAACAATTTTGAGCCTTGCGCATTCGCTCCCTCCACCCTCGTTCGGGTTCTGTTGCTACCACGGGCGAGCACGTTGTCTCATTGCAGGCGGAGTCCGTGTCTAGCGCCGGCGGTCTGGCATCTGTTTTTCCGCTCCCTCCCGATCCCCCTCGCAATCCCCATTCCCTATTCCCACTCCCGCCCGCCCCCCATGCCCCCTTTTTGTTCCTGCGCGTCGCTCTCAACGGACCCCTTCTCCAATGCCTCTTCCTGATTCTCCTCCTCTCATCATCGCCATCATCAACAGCATCGCCATGATCACTACCATCGCCATCACCATCATCATTACTCACCGCCACAGAAGTCATCACCACCCACAATCATCATCGTCATCATCATCAGCAGCAGCATCATGGGCAGCAGCAGCAACATCAGCGAGGTCAACCATGACATCTTGATCAGCCCCATCCCCTCACCCTCCTCATCCTCCTCGCCTCTTTCCCCTTCTCATTAGACCTCCACCCCCGCCGAACTCTCGCCCGCATCCTCGCCATCACTCCCCTCGCTTCTGGGGAGGATGCCGAGGCCTCGAGTGCCAACGCTCCGTCGGCACGAAGAGCTGGGTGCATCCGACCGCGCGGCGCCCGGTAAAAGAAGACGAGGCAGGAGCGGGGAGGTTCGAGGAGAGGAGGGTATCGGTGAAACCGCAGAATCAGAGGGAACTGGAACCTCAGCCTCAACCATACTGCATCGGCCACACACACATTACATACAGAGCACGACAAGCCGAGGGTGGAGAGACAAGGCTGCACCGCATTCGTACAGATAGAGGCGAATTGGATCAAAGTGTACGTTCTGGCGCCAACGCCGTATTGCACAACAAACCGCAATTCTCGGTTCCGCCTCGGATTGCTCAGGTGAGGACCCCGAAAGTCAAAGAGCATGTCTCTCGCAGTACTGATGGCATGTAAGAATGAATATTCGGAAGAAAGAATTCCTTGATCCTTAGCTGGTCTCGCTCGTTAAACTGGCCTGAGAGAACGGCCCCTCCCTGCTCTCTGAAGAAAAGCTGAATCCAAACAGCAACTGCGACGCAGTTACGCTACCCCGTTGAGAAACGAGAGCTCGGAACCAGGTAGACGTGGCCCAAAACCTACGGTTCTGGGCGACAGAAGCCGAAGAATATGTTTGGTGACATTTCTCGACTTGCCCTGCATAGCAGTAGGTGGGCGCCATCGAGTGCTTAGGAGTGCACCCACCTTCACAGTGATATATCATTCACATGTGTTAACGTCTACGCTCACAGGTCACGCTGGCATGCGACTCCGAAGGGAAGCCGACGTTCACCTGCCATACAATGTCACTACCGAGGCCTCAGGACATCTGGCAATCTTCAATCCAAGTTACGGCTGTCTTCTTGCGTGGACGCAAGCAATTGTGTGACGCGCTGGGCGCATCCAGATCCCAATCCGACTCGCGGCCAGAGCGCCCTGACGAAGGCACACACTCATTACACTGGGGATGTCTCATTCAACTCGCCGAATGTTTCGCGCCCAGCTGATACCGCATCGTGGAGCACAGCGTCAGAAGCTACATGCTACGCTTCAGAAGCTCATGGAGGTATAGCAGCTATGAAGGCAGCTGTGCCTACGCCAGCTCAAACCTGAGCTATAATAGACACAAGCTCAGCGCCAGCCGCGCGGTGAACTACAGTGTGTTACCTTAGGCGCTTTACGTTCGATCGAACGATGGTGCTTAACACAGCCGCCTCTTCAATGCCGCGAGCGAGTCAGGACAGTCACGCATGACTGCTCCGTGGTGGCTGCATTACGATGATACTTCACGTCATTATGTCGCGATAAAACCATCAAATAACACTTTCAGGCAGCGACTCACTCGTACCAGTGTGTCACGCTGACGCACAGAAATCTGTACGTTCACGACGGGAAGGAGCGGAGAGGAGCCAGGATCGGGGAGGGGAAGGAGGAGGAGGAGGAACAGCAGCAACGGCAGTTCCTCCTGCTCATCCCCCTGTTCCTCCCCCTGCCCCCTCATCCCTTTCCTCCCTCTTGCCCCAGCACCCAGTCCGACCTCCTCCCTCATCCTCAGAACATTCCTCCTCCACATCCTCCTCCTCCTCCACCTCCTCCTCCTCATCATCCTCCTCCTCCTGCCCCAGCCCCCATCCTCCCTCCTCCTCCTCCCTCCTCCCTCCTCCTCCTGCTCTTCCTGCGCCGGCGCCACTCCTCCCTTCTCCCTTCCCCTCCTCCGCATCCTCATACCCTGCTCCCCCCCCCCCCCCATCCTCCTCCGTAGCAATTTTGGCTCAAGCCATGTTGGCTCAAATGCGAAACCGTCGCCCCGCGGCTTCGTGCTTGTTCGCAGCTGAGGTGCTGGCCCAAGGCGTCCTGCCTCAGCGGACTTCTAGCGAGCACCTCTCCCACCCTGCCAGCACGCCCAGTGCCCGGACGTTTTGCGCCGTTCCGAGTGTCTTCGATGGGCAAGCGGGATGCTGAGCGCCAGCGGTGGCAGTGCAAGTCATGCACACATGAGAGGACAGGTAAGCAGTGGATCAACGATGCGTGGCGCACGAGCTGCTGCTCTGTGGGATCCACAGATCGACAGCTTTCGGCGGTCATGTGGAGCAGATCTCACCATCGGAGAGAGCAGGCAGCGCACGAGCCCGCTTGGAAGGAGGAGAATGCGTGGGCTCGGGGTCCGTCATCACCATCAAAAGACTCCAGTGAATTGGCAGCCCTTCGGGCCCGTTGTCAAAAGCTCGAGCAGCGATGCACCATCAGAAGGCAGCCAGCTCCTCTACCCTCCCTGAGGAGGACATCGTCATGGACGCGGAGGCCACGGACGAGCATGCGAGTGCTAGACTCACGGAGTTGGAGAAGGAACTGGCAGCAGTTGCAAACATTCGGGCCCTGCCTGGACAACGTGTCGACAAGAGCTTGAGCAAGAAAGAATCCGTATCCGTGCACGACTGCTGGAATCCAAGCCAGTCGATGCCAGGGTTCGTACAGTCACCGAACGTTTAGAGGCGACCAAGAAGCAGCTGGCCAAATCCAAAGATGGCTTACAGTCTCAGAAAGATCAGCTGGCCAAGATGCAGAAGGCCAGTGCTGATGCCGCCACCAATTTCCAGAAGCGGGAGCAGGATATCAAGCAGCTGGCCCAGCAGCGCAGCGTCCTTGCGCGGCGGGCGTTGGGCAGCTCACCAGAAGTGTCGGCCTTGAGCCAGGATCAAGGCACGCTCCCAGGGGGTGCTGGAGCCATGTGGTCTCGGCGACAAAGTGGTCGGTCGCAGCGGAGTTGGTCAAGCAATTCCCAACCATGGTCACCAATGCGACGCTGGTCCCATTTGGCACAGGCGAGGCGATGGTCGAAGAATAAGCGCCACCGACGTCGGCGGACCAGCTACCAATCGAGCAGATCAAGCAGACGCTGGCTTCCTTCCTGTCGGCAGACAGCATCTCGACTGACGAGGCTGAGATCCGTGAGTTGGCCAACAAGCTGTGGAAGTGGAAGAGTGCTCCGCCCCCCAGCCAATACACTCCTTCCCAGACCCTCAAAAACCTGGCACATCCCTAACCTAACCTGACCCAGCCCCTGTCGACACTGCGCCAAAGCTGACCTGACCCACTACAGCTAACCAGACCAACGGCTCGGCGACACCAGTGTGTCACGCGCGCGCGCTGTAGCAACTGATGCGCCGAAATGGAGCGACACGGCAACATTGCAGTGCACTCATCTCATCTCATCTCAGATTCTTCATTGTAGCCGAAGTGAGATGAGTGTCGCTCCATGGAGTGACATTGAAGTGCCCACTGTTTCACTCATCTCTCTTCGGCTACAATGAAGAATCTGACCAGCGCTGAAGCGAGAGCTACATTTGCAAGCACGGATGTGGCCAGCGCTGAGGCGAGAGCAACACTCGCAATCGTGTCTGTGGCCGGCGCTCAGGGGAGAGCACCCGTCGTAGTCGTGGAGGGGCTGGCGGGGAGGTGAGAGTGACGCTCGCAATCATGAATGTGGGCCACGCTGCAGCGAGAACAACGTTGACAGTCAATGATGTGGCCAGGGCTGAAGCGAAAACCAAACTCGCAATCAAAGATGTGGCCAGCGCTGAGGCGAAACCAATATTCGCAATCATGGATGTGGCTGGGGCTGAGGCCAAACAACAGTCGTGATAGTGGATGTGGCCAACTGTGAGAGGAGAGCATCCGTCGTAGTCGTGGGCGAGATGTCCCAGTGCAAGCGCGCACCAGCTCTAGCGCAACAAGCAGCACCACCAAGACGAACACTCCCAGAAGCAGCAGCACCATGCGCAGCAGCAACAGCACCAGCACCCGCTTCGCGTGGGCCAGGCTCGGTGTTACCGAGGTCGGGGTCACGTTAGGTGGGTAGTCCACGTTAGGGGGGGTGCACCAGCGATGCGTTCACTGAGACATCAATAGTGTATTTCCATGTGGTGGCTGTGGAGTCTGAGGGTTGGACTCGTACAACAGGCAGCGTGGCTCGTGAGCCGAGGGCGACAAACCAGCTAAGCCCAGCAGTCATGTTCGAACTGATCGGCCAATGCATTATGGCGGTCACTCTGCACCGTAATATTTTGATCTGACTTGGGATGAATTTGAGTTCCCGAGCGAGTCCGTTACAGTCTGGAGTGGTACGACCGTAGGTATTGCAACTGCCGAAAAAGGCTCCAATCAATTCTCTACGATTTGTCTGCGTCAGACGTGTCTCTTCCGAGTTCGGGTGGCACCAACAGGCCACGCCGTGCGCTAGAAGTGCCGCTACGACTCCCTCGGGAGTCGAAGCGACCCCTCTCCCAGGTTCGTCAGGTGGAGGCTCCACCTTAGGGACAGACCGCATGCTCTGGGAAGTGCATTCCCTGGAGATGGTCGGGTATCAGCCCCATCGGTGCCCGAGAACGCTGCCCTCCTGTCCTAACCCAAAGAAGGCTGCCAGCGCTTTGGCGGGTCACGATCGGGCTGGGAGTTTCCCCGATCGGGCGATCCCTGGTGCTGTCGGCTGCAAGGGGGGACGAGTACACCTTCGCCACTTGCGAGGGCCACAGTGGCGGCTCAAGAGGACCACTCGGAGTCGGTGCTGGTCATTTCGACGTCGGCGTCTTCAGCATAGGCTTCGGATGGAAGGCAGCACAGCAGCGGTGGTCCGGTCGATCTTTTGTCAGAGGCTTCGCAGGAACACCACGAGGACGCCTGCTCAGACCTGATCATCCGCACCACCAACGGCAAAGCGCGGCAAAGCGCTGCGGACATCCCCAATTGGCTCAACCCTAAGCTTCCCCACACCCGTTTGATTCCGGAGACCAGACTGGCACCTCCGCGTGAGGCAGCAACTCACCAGTGGAGTCGACCTGTCTCACGCAGACTGTCGCTGGCTTCGGCGTTACAGGCAGGAGATGCGGAGTTGGCATGGTCAGGTCGCGTGGGAATTCCCCCGCCAGAGGAGGTTGAAGTCAATCATGTTCCTGAGGTGCCAGGCGCATGGACACATCGAGCTGTACTTCGGTGACTAACGGACGGTGGGTCCAGGATGCATGCTCCTAATCGGGCCGATATGTCTAACATTGTCCATTGGGGTTGACGAGGACAAGCTCGACCTGTGGGCGTTCCTGGCGGCCGACGTTGGAGGTCAACCCTGCCCATCTCTGCTTGGTGGCGGCTGGAACTTCAGTCCCGAAAGTCTT